AAGAAGTGGCAATTCCGGAGCAATTGGTTGAAACGATACCACATGCCGTGATGAAGCACATGATGGCAAGCCAAGGGATTCCGAAGACTATTTTGACAGACCAGGGCCTATGCTTTGAAAGTGACGAATTCCGGACCTGTTTGGAGAAATTGGACATCAAGGAGATAGGAACCACACACTTGCACCCGCAAACCAATGACTTAAGGAAGACGACTAATAGAACCATTAAAGTATGGCTGGCGTTGAATGAGGGAAATTAGGAAGAACCTTTACCACTTTGTTTGCCAGCTCATCTCGTGTCAAAGTAAGCAAGCACCAAGATACCCCCCTTTAAGTTAATGTATGGCCGTAGGTCTCGACTTCCTGTGTATCTGGGGATAGGTTGGCTGACCTGCCAATTCCCGCTAAGAGATTGACGGAGCAACAGGTAGGTAGGGAACGGAAATCTAAGGGCAACTCAGGAGCGGAGGATGGAAGAATCTCGTGTCAATATGAAGAAACCACTCGAAGACTTTCCAATAAGTTTGAAGATCAAGTACAAGCATCACCAACGTGCAACCGCATGTGCCCCCGGAGAGAGGAATCTCCTTACGATGTGATCAGTCGACGAGGGCCCGTATGCACATCATCGCTCAGCGGAAAGATAGGCAGGGAGTTATGCTACTTAGTACAGCAAATAGTACGACAGCGGAGAACAAACTGCGGCAAACATGAACGGCCTCGGAGCTCAGAAAGACTACGTGAGAGGTCGACTGCCTCGGAAACTTTGGATGGTTAGGAGTGTGGTCCAGTACTAGTTAGTAGTTTGTGTGGAAACGAAGCGACGCATGGAAATCAGGTTAAACTTGGATCGCCGGACGTAGGATGTGTAGTGCTGAAATCGTCTCCGCCGAGACCTGGTGCGTGATGAGGCGCAGCGAAGCAGCGAGTTGGGAAAGTAACACGATTTGTTATAATATCTAAATTTTAGTTCTCTCTTTTAAAACTCCCATGCACCACTTCGCGTTAATCATGCTACGGCTGCCAACAATACAACTGCTACTGATACATTAGATGAATGCATTGAGGCGTAACAGCTAAAATTAGCATGCAAACTTTTCGGTAGAGTAACACCGAGTCGCCATCTAATTCGTCTACGGTCACATTGATTGCATTCACCAAGGTTCACTTGAATGTAAATCGCGGTCTACGTAGAGATTGCACGCCGCAATACATTCATACAACCAGCGGCACAAAATGACCTCCCATCCAGTCCATTGCCGTTGTGACAAGCGTTGCCCATCGTAATCGGAGGATAAAGGGATAGAGGGTTGAGTTAACTGTTATCTCTATCTAATGTGTTCGAAGCTGGTAATGGTAGCGAGGGCGGTAGTGATGGTAGTGTTCTTGAGGGTAACATTAAGGATATCCTGATGTGTTCTACATTGCCAACAAAATATTAGCATTGCGATAGATGTCAACAGCGTGTTTGAACCCGAGGTGGGAGCGGAACTATTTGTTGTCTCAAACATAGCTAATACTAGGTGCACTCGTCCCGACAAACGTGACATCCACTCCTCTTCGTTATCCCTGTTGGAGGTTGCATAGCGCGGGTTTCCTTCTGTTTCTATGGATTTTGTCGTGTTTACTCTTCGCGCACATACAAATGCGGTTCTAAAGTGTTCCTCACCCTTGGGAGAATCATTATAACCTGCTGTTGGCTGGCTGCCTTTTCGCATTCTGACCTTTCCACGCTATTGATAACTGGTGCAGGTGTGTGTCTTTAGTCCACTACACCCCTCCAAAGCACTCGGCCCAGCTGCTTTCAATCGGAGTCGTTCTGATCGATGGGGATATTCACTGCGCGAAAGAGATCCCTTCTCCAACTCGTGCCATTTCCTCAACTCACACTCACCGTGAATCGCCCTGCCGAGCGAATGTCTACACAGGGCGTCGCCGGTTAACCACCTCGCAGGGTCCCTTCCACTTCGGTAGGAGTTTTCTCTCCCATGGACCACAAGTGAGAGCGTGCTTATGTTCTCTGTATTTCACCTTCGAACCGATTTAAAACTCGACCCTCGTCTCACCATTTTCGGTCTGGGACTTCTCCATCCTCCGTGCCTGAGTTTCTTTCAGATTACTGTTGGCTGCCTTTCTGTTATCCTGCGCTTTTTGGGAGAGATTCGGCAAGTTGGGCACATTGCAACCTCTAGATCTACAGGTAGACGAGTTGGTCGACAATATAAAAATTGGAATAAGGATTTCTTTGTGGTGGCTCGTTTGGATGCTCGATGGGTCAGTAACGGTAATGGTAAAGCTTCCTCCACCCTCTGCTGCCAGCCACTCCTTGATCGTTCTGTTGTCACTCACTGTCACAGCATTTATCTGCGGGTGGTAAGGAGTTGTCTGCACGTACCTGATACCAAGTGTCTCCAAACAATTCCGGAATTCCTCACTCTCAAAACACGGACCCTGGTCTGTTAAGATGGCTTTTGGGATTCCGTGAGCCACTATCAAATATTCCATGACGACATAGGTAATTATGGCCACTCGTTGATCCGGGATTCCTGTTGTTTCAATCCGACGCGTAAAGTATTCCACAAGCAACAAGATTTATTAGTTACTCCACTTGGTCAATGGAAGTGGTCCCTTCATGTCGTTTGACCCTAGTTCCCTAACTTCCGATACCGGAATTGACAGCACTGGTTGCTTTGCATCTTGGCAGTCGGTTTTCAAGAGCTGACATTGCTTGCACGAAAGAACGCATGTTTTGACGTCCTGCTTTCTGCTAGGCCAGTAGGTGCTTTGTTTCAGCTGATAGTGTGCGCCATCTTGTGATAAGAAATCATCAGCTTCCGCCTTAGTTTCCTCGGAATAGCAGGCTCCCGTATTCCACATCAGGATTCCCGTGTCATTTATTTGTTACCTTTTAAGATTTATCGCAAACGGTCGAGCTACTTGTGATGGCTCTTGTTTAGGACTGATTGATCGGGTATGCGTGCAGTGATCATTTCGCGCAAGAGTTTGCCACTGCGTTGCGCGGCTGTCAAATTTACCGGATCTTGCACCAACAGTATACCATTAATACCGAAGGTCACGCTCGGCAGATCATCTTCGTTCATCATGCATGACAAGAAATCCGCCAATTTGGTTCTCATTTCTCGACACGCGGTTTATTTTGAAATCGTATTCCTGTGGATGCAAAGCCCATCGCTCTAGTATTCCTCTGGGGTCTCCGCAAACTCCATAACTTCCAACCTTTTGTGGTCCGTGTCGACGTGAAATCGCATACCTAGCAGATATGATCGTTACTTGTCCAAAGCCCTGGCGATTTCGAGACATTCCTTTTCTGTGATTGAGTATTGGTGTGCTTTCGGTGCCAAAATTTTGCTGGCATACTTAATCGTCCCATGACTTTGTTTCAAATCCACGCCGATTCCGACATTGCCGGCGTCTGTGCCCACCGTGAACCTCACTCCAGCAATGGAGGATTTCAGGATCAGTTTCTGCCTTACCATTACATGTAGAATGCGGTCACTGGAATGTTGAGCTACTGTAGTCCAAGTGAATTTCTCATTCTGTTTTAGAAACTCGTACAAGGGTGAGGCCAATTTGGTGAAGTCCTTAACGAATTCTCTGTGGTTCTCAACACGGCCAAAGAACGCTCTGAGAGTGCACTTTGAGGTAGGAACTGGAGTGCCTTCTATTGGCAATATTTTCTCAGGTATTGGCTTCCGTTCACCTTGACCCACTTCATGGCCCAATAAGGTGACACCAATCTTTCCAATCAGCGGCTTCGGTCCACTTATACGGAGTCCTAACTGCTGAATCCGTTCCAGGACTGCTTCGAGATGATCGCTGTGCTCCGCCTCTGATTGGCTATACACCATTATATCATCCCCGTACACCGCTGAATTCTCCTAGCCACTCATCATACACAGCATTAAGCGTCGGAGAGTACGTGGGACTGTCGCTACTCCAAAAGGCATAATTTTAAACTTGTATTCTTTCTCACCGATGTTAAACGCACTTTTATCCCAGTCTTCTCGTTCGGTCGCCAGTTGGCAGGATCCAGATCTCAGATCCAGAACCGTGAATATCCTCAAATGTTGCAGTCTAGCAAACATGTCAGCAAATGAGGACACGGGAACTAAACGACTGAAAGAAATTTCTTTCAGCTTTCAGCAATCCACACAGAAACGATACATCCCATTAGACTTCTTCACCAGAACCGTTGGATAGTTGTATGGTCAGTGGGCCTCTTCAATCACATCCGAGTGCAACATCACGCATACATGACTCTTTAGCGCAACCTCATGATGGACCGGCATCCCTCAAGGTCCCTGGGTCTGATAGATCCCGTGGATAAGTTGAATAGTTTGCTCAATTCAATCAAAAAATCCATACGTGTTACCGTCATTATAAACAAGGGATGATAGTGCTCAGTGACTGCAAGGTCGGTCTCAAATGGAACGCGGCAACAAGAGATTGCAAGGATATGGTTTCTGCATGGCCAAAGAGAGGCAATGACTCGCATTCAGTCAAAAAGTTCCCACGTTTTAGCTCGAAGATAGCCCTGTCGTGCTCCAATAGCTCTGCCATCAAAATGGTTTGCTTCTCAACTGGTGGCAAAATGAAGACATGTGCTAGTTTTCCTTCCATGATTCCAGTGAGGTGTTCGGCCATACTGTTAAGTATGCTGCTTAGCCGAGCCAATAACGCTTGTTGGTGCCTTTCCCCACGCGTCCAGTAGCTGCACGAAATCCAGACCACTTACGCCCCGGCAAATTCTAGCCGCGCTTTTCACACACGCGAGACGAACACAATTCAAGAACTGCACTGCTAGACCTAGAGGGAGAGAAAAGACAGTCCATCGAAAAGTGCGCTTCTACTGACTCAGAAGAAAGTCGAACATGAATTCTACACCTCCGTATTAATTGCACCGTGTTGCCGGGCTGAAGAGGGTAAAAAGACATTTACAAAAGCTAGCATCAATTACTGGATGTTGTCACCCAGCACCTATGTTACCGAGTGCACCACAGGCTGATTACGGCAGGTTCGTTGTCTTCTGATAAGAAAAGACAAGTGAAGTAATAGAAGTAGATAACGGTGACACTGAGAGAACGTCGGTGTAATTGTCATCGGTGGGCGTTGCCATGCGGAGCCGGTGGGACGGATCAGCGAGAGGGAAACGACTCAACGTGGTGTTTCTTTGGACCCAAGAAAGCTCCACAGCACATACCATAAGTGCCCACTGTGTAATCGCCAACAGCAGTCACAACCATGGGTCACGATTGAAGCTTTACTTCTTGCTAATGATTGATCAGGATGACTTTGGCACACGTATAGATCAGACACCATTCTATCTTTCTGTCAACTAATGTCATCGCGTCCAGCCCCTCCTATTTATTGCCCCGAACTCACGTTTCTAGGTCCAAGACGAAAAAAGTTGAATGCTTGTATGTAGTATACGGGCAGCAGCGCCCATTATCGGACATGATCTTTTCTAGTGTACCGGTTATCCGTAACGGTAGCAACATCCCCTTATTCGCGCCTCCGAGCGCATAACGTGAAGCCCTCTGACCTTTCTAGTGAGCTGTTCCATCGTCCCCTTCCAATTTATCCTTTCTCTCCACACTTGCTTACTGGTTCTTTTTCAGTGCAGCGAATGCAGCGTCGCTCAGCTCTCGAGTAACTTGCGCTAACTCCTTTAGCCGCTTTCACCGAGTGGCGTTCGCAATCCGGACGCATTCCGCGGTTCGCTCTTCGAGACTTGACATGAACTGATCCACCAGTAATTGTTGTTTTGACGTTTCATCCATTCCCAGCAAGGCCCGGTCCTACAATCACTTGCTGTGGGCTACAAACACGAGAGTAGCCACCTCCTTCACCAAACCGTCTTGATTTGAACCGCCGCATGGCCTCCTGGCGGTCGGCCGGGGTGTCCAATCTGGAAAAGTACGCATCCTTCGCGGCTTTGCACTCCCACTTGACTTGGCCTCTTCGCGCCGCCTTAGGAAAACCTTCATTCTGCTGTTGAAGAGAATCCGCAGAGCCACTAGCTTTGACCGGTCAGTCTTGATTCCGATCTCCTCCGCCAATTCTTCGAAGCTCTCCAAGGAGGTTCTCAAATCCACTTCTTCAAACGGCTCCGGCCGGGGGATTTCATGACGCACCTCGATTGACCACAGTAACAATGTAGGGACCTGAGGTGCAAGCGGAACTATTTGTTGTCTCAAACATAGGTAGTACTAGGAGCATCCGTCCCGACAAACGTGACATGCACTCCTCTTCGCTATCCCTGTTGGACGTTGCATAGCGCGGGTTTCCTTCTGTGTCTAGGGATTGTGTCATATGCACTCCTCGCGCGCATACAACTGCGGTTCTAAAGTGTTCCTCTCCTTTGGGGGAGTCATTATGGCCTACAGTCGGCTGGCTGTCGTTTCGCATTCTGGCCTTTCCACACTACTAAGAACTGCTAGACCAGTGTCTGCATATAGTCCGTCAAGTGTGGGTTATAAATAAATAAATAAATAAATTGTATATGTCTCGACGATGCGAGAAGCCATTCCCAGAAGGGACGGATCAAATAATGGTACAGCAGTTTCATACCTTGGTATAATAAATTTAAAAAATGTGAGCACAAAACGAAAATTTGTGTAACGTGAAGCGGTCCAAGATATTTACATTCCTCTTGTTCTATGGTCTGAAAAGTTTTACGCAGTCACATGAGAGTCGATCGCACACGAAAAAAAGAGAGAATAAAGTGCTGCGGGCCAACAAAATATAACCACTTGTGCACTTGCCCACATGCATTTTCAGGCGCCATTAACTCCGTTCTCAAAAGCGTTATCTAAGGACTGTGCTGTTCGAAACATTATTATCACATTTTGAACGGTTAAAGGATCTTTTATCGAAAGCTTAAACAAACTCAATGTGCAACAACTTCTAATAGCTCTTGGAGGTTTGTTCCAAAGCTTTGAGCAGTGTATTAAGAAGAAACGCTCCCTAATTCGCGTATAAAACTTTGGAATCATGAAGGTTGTCTCCCTACTTCGTAGCTCGTATCTAGTGTTAACGGACATATGGACACAGTGAGCATAATTGTGCATGCGATGGTGAATTATTCTGTACAGGAAACACAAGTTCATCTTCATTATCCGTAGCCAAAGTGGGTCAAGTCCAAGTTTTTCACTGCGCTCTCTGTAGGTCATCTTGGAGGAATATAAGCACAGCGTCTTTGTAAAGCGTCGTTGTACCCTCTCAAGAGCATGCTGGTCAGATTTCCGCAGATTCGACTGTAGTAGTTGTAAGCTTCAAAAATCGCTTAGGATATTTGGACAACGTGTAGGGCACCGATTCGCGGCCTCCGACAGGGGATCAATGAGCGACAAGGATCGGAGTTGGTGTGTAGACACCGGAGAAACAAAAATGCCACAGTCGATGCTAAACTACGGTGCAATTATACAAAGAGTTTGCGTTC